ATTAGCATAATTAAAAGTGACTAGCATGAATACATAAAAAAATCTGAATTACAACTAAAAGAGAGTATTAAATTTAAAGAGTCTCCCTGGTGAAAGTCACTTTCCCTTAGGGGAAACAAATCTATTTTTTTCAATCCTGTTATGTACTAGATTTGCAAATATAGTCTAGGAAAAAAAACCCGCACATAACAATACTCCAAACACTTAATTTTGGAGAATGACCTGGAAAGGATATGAGGGGGAGAGGAGACCTTCAGCTGAAGCCCAAGGGGCAGAGCACGGTCCTCAGCTGGCCTCTCTGATGGAGAGTCACCGCGCTCCGGGGGCAGACAGAGGCATCGGACCAATACTTTCCTGCCAAAGTAACAATTTCCCACGAAACAATGCATTCCCAAAGAGTTTGATTATTACTGATATGGTTACTTCCAGAAATGTTGAATTATTCTGTCTGGATAAAATACATTGCTTTGAGAGAGAAAAGCAATGCATTAAAGCTATTCTGTTGATTAACTGGGACATTCACCTTATATTGACTATTCACTCCAATATTAGAGATGAGCATATAATTTTTCCAGTGGCATGGCTGTGGATGCATCACTGGAGCATTTTAAGTTCCTGTAAAATGCAAACCCAATACATATCTCAAGTGCAAGCAAAACATTGAGGTTCATTCCAAAGAACACAGCGTTATCTCCTTTTGAGCCATACCAAAGAAACCAAAGCCAAGTTTGACACATTCCTTGTGATTTTGTTGTTATCCTTGTTGTCACCAACATGTTCTCAGGAGATGCTGCAATTGTTTAAACATCTCTTTCTCCAGGCCTCGCTCAAGCCCAGATAATGATGGATAAGATGCTAGATTCCCACATAACACTGGACTTCCGCTTCTTTTTTGCTTTCTTTGCAAAATAACCTGACCCCAAAGAGAAGTCGCAAAGTCAAAGGCTCGGGTAATGCCAGAAGGAGGGATGCATCAGCCATGCCGGCACAACCACATCTTTCACCGCGCCCTCTCCGCAGGATCCCACCCAAGGCTTTCCACAGGATCCCCACTCTCCAGCCCTACAGCGAAGGGCTCAGATCCTTCCTCCTCCCTCTGAAACATAAATGCACAGCAGGGAGAGGCAGCTGTATCCCTCCCTCTGCTGAGGATGAGAGTCCTGAGCAATGAGGAGGCAAATAAGCATTTGCTCTGTAGGGGTCCAGCATGGATTTATCATTTTCTGCACACCCCATTTGAGAAACTCCCAGTTTTGTTTGCAGGAGGGCTGGCATTTCCCAGCTAGAGTCGCTCAAGTGGCTTTTTCTATTATAAATGGTCTCCAGATAGCTAAACTGAAAAAGCACCCCGTATCAGAGCAAAAAGCAGAATTGTGAGCGGTTTGGCACATGGAGGCTCCTTTGCCTTGGAAACACCTCGAGATTTAACGATCAAGCGAGCAGACCTCATTTGGACAAAGCGAGCTGAAACGCCACCGGGAAAAGGCAAAACCCAGCCCCGTTCTCTGACCTCCCCAGTGGCACATTTCAGCAACAGACCTTAAAAACCACGGTCCGAGCAGCGTTACTTTTTACCTAGGTGCTGGAAGATTAGTGAGACTGTCCCACGGCTCCATGCAGAGCCAAGGCTGCCAGGAGCCCGTGCTCCTGGAAGGTGGCTGCTAAGGCTGGGACTGTCCCTTGTCCCCCCACGGCCCTGTGCACTGTTCCCCAGCGTGCTCCCAAGAACCCAGGTCCTGCTGTGGTGCGTGGCCTGACACGGCGGCTCAGATACCCGCCTGATGCCAGAGCCATGCTCATATCTCACCTCCCTCCCTCTCCCATCCGTGTCTGCGGCGGCTTTACCAGCAGGCACGGTCTTGCCGGGTGACGGACATATCGTGGTGGGCTGGGATGGGGATGGTACCCAAAGGGGGATGTTATCCATAGGTTCACTGGCATGGAGATGGGTACAGAGGTATCACTGCAGTCTGATCCTCCTCCCCAGTAGCCTCTGAGCTCGGTTGCATCTGGCAGACCCAATCTGGCATTTGCTATTTTGGGCAGCGCTGTCTCAGTGGAGGTGGGGAACAGCACTGGGAGCCACGTACGCACAGAGCAAAGAAATTCAGGGCAGCCACGATCTGCAAAAAACACGGGTCCTCGTGCAAAGCCGTTTCTACCTTCACTGCAATTAGCATGCCATTACAGTCCCCTGCCTTCCTCCGGGCACAAGCGCCCGGCAGATGTACGAACCCCAGAAACGTGTCCACTCGTGATGGATTTCCCTGTCTTGGTTGACATGCTGCTGATGATTTCTGACTGCGCCCTGTGTGCCAGAGCTTTGAAGTGCTCCTATGTGCCAGGAACGCAGCACGAGAAGAGGCAGGCTGCTCCTGCCATGCACCTCGGTTGCTCTCTGTGTGCCTCCATCACCCACAGGGTCTGCTCATCCTCCTCTTTGTCCTACACCCCACAGGAGAGCCGAGCCACAGCAGGATGGGCTGGCTCCCTCCACGTGCTGTCCCTCTCCAAGGAGGTCATCACCCCAGGCCCCTGGCTGCCATCGCTCCACTTGCAGGGGGTGGCAGCGGGATGTGAAGCTTCTGCTGGCTGGCACGTTCCCCAGCTCACTGCTCAGGCCACTGTGGTAGCTCTGGCACACTGATGAGTGATTATTTTCATGCTGGGTCTCACACACAGGTTTTCTGTTCTTTCACTAGGAAAAATACTTGGGCTAGACCAGAGTGAGGAACAGGAGAGGATGAGAAGTGCCAGTTGCCCACAGCTGACCTACCACCTTGGCAGGTGGTTCTGGGCTTGCTCTGGCCAGTCTGCAACTTGAGAGAGGCAACATTTGGTGCTTGGGCTCCCTATTGCCTCCAGCATCAGCACAAATACAAGGGAGGCTGCTTCCCCTCCCACGGGGAGGTTACCGGCTCCACCTGGGCCCCTGCAGCACTGCCCAGAGCACCTGTGCTCACCCGGACAGGGAATAAGAGGATGCTCTTGAGGACGTTCGGATGTTGGACCACATGAAAGGCACAGCTGAATCCAAATTGCCGCAGAGCAGAGCAAGGGGTTGGGAATGGGAAGTAAAGAACCTTATGAAGGAGCTGGAAGCACCTTTAAATGCAGAGGTTTGAAATGCTCCAGAGAGCTGAGTAGACATGGATCTTACGGCACCTAGGATGAGCAAGTCATGGATGCTCAGCAGCTACCTCCACCTTTGTGGAGTTTCGCCAGCAGTGGGCTCCTGGGCTGGAGAAAAGGACCTCTAAGGAGTAGTGATGATGCTGCCCGATGCATGCAAGCCCGTAAGCCCCAGCCTGTCCCTGGCTCCACTGATGCGGTGGCACGTGCCAGTCAGCACAAGCAGCAGGAGGAGAAGTGGTCCAGCATCCTGGCAGGACAAGGGAGGGGAGCTGCCAGTGGTGCCTGCCAGCCCTATGGGAGGAGGAGAGTGAAAAGCCACGAGGTCTTGGGGCTCACCTGGAAAAACAATATATTTCCCATGTGGTACAGTGCAAAAATGTGTTATGTGGCTGCTTTAGTTGTCTGGGGATGTGATGTATCACGATCCCCTTGTTTGCAAAACAGGAAAAACATGTACTACACTTTTTATACAGTAGGAAACTGATGGAAAATATATTTGTTTTCCCACTTGAGTTAGGAGAGAGAAGTAAAGCCTGGAAACAGAAGGCAGGGCTGGGTCCAGAGGGTCCTGGGGAAGGATGTGGGGCACTGACATGGCAGATCTGTCCAGACAAGGGGGCAGTGACATGTTTGTTGTCATACAGTAATATGTAAATTCACCTTAGGGAAAGCCAAAGCATTGTGTAAGCCAAGCACCCTCTCCTTCAAAAAAAAAAGAACGCCTAGAATCACTCAGAAAGTGCACCGCTCATGGGGATGTTGTCTAAATCAAATAAAAGATGATGATGATGCTAATAATAATAATAACAATAATAATAATGATGATGATGAAGGTTTTGCAGACAACCCCCACCTTTCCTTCAAGCAGCTAAAAAGGTGCAGAAGGATGCAGAGGGAAGGATGGGGCTGGAGATGGCAGGGTGACCCAGGAGAAGAACAGTCGGAGCCCATCGGTAGCAGAGCTGCACAGACATTTATTGAACACAAACAACGACAAACACAGCTGGCTCACAGAGCTTCCTGAGCTATCGTCCAAAGGTTTTGCTCATGGGGATTGTCAAAAGAGTGCTTTCAAAGGCCGCTGGGGGTGTGAATCCCATACAGCTGAACTCTTCCCACTTCCAGTTGCTCATTAGTTAAAAAAGAGGACCATTTGTGTATGTGTGTGTGAGAGATTCCCTTTGTTTAGTATTAAAAATGGCTTGTCTGGACCCTGCCATGTTGCAACCAGAGAAGTCTGCGGGTGAACCCATGCGTGCACATCGGCTTGGCTCCCGCAAGTTCTGCTTCCCAAATAACACGGAGTGAAAACTATGGGTTACCCTGAGGGCAAGGATGCAAGGTCTCAAAGGTGAGCCAGGACAAGCAAAGCGAACGGAGAGGGAGCATCGAAGGAAGAAGGGTGAGAAAAGTAAGGACTCTGAAGCACACTCAGCTCTGGGTGGCATCACACGTCCATAGGCTACAGCAAGTACCGCCAATGTCAACTCAAACGTTTAAGTAGCTACACTAGACTGACACTAGAGACCCTGTCATCTTCTGATGGCTCGCCAGCGGAGAAAAAAACAACCCTCCCCGCCCCCCCCAAAAGTAGATGAAGTAATAACACCATACACCGAAAACAAGGACCATAACCAAAGAGTTTAGGAGCAGCCTCAGGAGCACAGTAAGGAGCTCGTAAAGAAACGTTCCAGTGTGTGCATATGTGTGTGTGTTTTTATATATATATATATATTCGTTAGTAAAGAAAAGAGTATCTGTGGAGGCAAAGGGAAGACAGTAAATGTACAGGCAGTACAGGCTGGGTGGAGTGCCAGTGGCTGGAGAGGGTCGGGTGGTGCGGAGTGGAGGATGGTGGGTGGAAATTAGAGTGCGCCCATTCCAGTGACCTCAGACGTCAGCCTAGAATAGACAGGGGCAGAGAGAGGGGTAGGGGGGAGACAAAAACAAGCGCTTAATATCTGGAGCAGAAAAGAAAACGAAGACCCTGTGGGGCAGCGCTCCTCCTCTCGCCTACGCCCTGCTGGGATGGGGGGCAGAGCATCACCGGGTGGCTTGAGCGCACAGGGCTTGGGGGTCCTGGTGGAGGGCACGGGGTGCTGGAGCACAGAGCCAGCTCAGTGGCCAGCTGCCTTCCCCTCTCCTTGCTGCTGCCAGGTAATGTCTGTCCCCGGCACTGTGCTGCTGTGCCAGCGGTGCCACAGGGATGCCGGCAGGAGACATCCCAGTACGCAGCTTCACTTCTACCAGCATTCCCTCCCCATGGAGGATGGGCAGCAGTACCAGCTCCCCTGGCTTCTTCGTTTTGCTCTGGTTTTCAAAACCATGGGAGAGGCTGAGCTCTGCCCCATCCTGCCCCCACACCAGGTCATCTCTGCCTCCACCACAGCACAGGCTGCAGCTCAGCCAGCCCTTCCCAGTAGTGAAGAGCCACTCGTTTTTCTTTTCTTTCCCTCTTGTCTCAAGAGGTGGGGGAGATTGGCAAGGAGCTGCAGGGAAAGACGCTTGGCCGTGCCCGCAGGGGCGGGGCCAGCCCCGTGCCTCTCCTGCGGAGGTGCCATGGGTGCGGGCAGCGGGACAGCAGGGCAGGACGGGATGGTGGAAGTCTGTTGCAGGTCGGGGCTGAGGGGGGTTGGGTGCAAGGAGGAGAAAGCACGTACAGACCTCACCGGTGCTCCCAGCCCACATCCCAAGGAACATCAGAGTCGCCACCAACAGCCCCTCGTCCTCGGGACTCTGCCAGCAGCCTCCCACAGATGAGCACATCCTGGGCTGGCAGCGGGTTGGCACAGCACCAACTTTGCCCGCAGCAGAGGGCACGGACGGGCGGACGGCCTTGGTTTGCGCAGCTACGCCAGGCGGGTGTGAAGCCTGCAAAAGGCTCTCGTCTCCCCTTAAGTTCCCCATCCACAAGTCTATAGACACAGGCAAGCAGGTCTGCATGAGCACCCCAGACATGGCTCTCCGCCAGCACGGAGCTGGTCCCCGACCCCTCTTCCAGCTATGCCTCCCCTGCACACTCCCCTCGCAGTCCCTTGCCGGACCCCCCGTCTTCCACAGCACAGGCAGCACCACCCCCCCAGCTGGAGGTGGCATCAGAAACCTTCAGCTTCTGCGAAGTCCTACTGTGCCAAGTTTTTTAGCATGAAAAGGAAGCAATCAGGCCATTCCCATGTCTTGCATTTATTGGACCGATTATTTTCACTGGATGGAGGAAAGCCTTTGGGAGGCCTGGAAGCACGTGGAAAAGGCTCTGATGAGGCAGTAAGCGATGCTGGGATCCCAGCGAGCAGGTCGCAAGTGATGCCTCCCCACCACCGGCTCAGCTCCGTCCCCGTCCCCATCCCCTGCCTCATCCGCAGGGAAAGACGGCGGCGATTTTGCCCACCCATGAGCAAAATCCTCGAGCGAGGGCGGCGGGGGGGGCGG